ATCGATTTGCTTGACGTCGGCTTCTTTTGGTGGCGCGAGGATGCTGGGCTTTTTAGCCGGTATCTCTAGTTCTTCTTGGCTTATTTCTATGGCAATAGTGGCTATTTCTTTTCTACCATTGTTGGCTTGTGCTTTGGCTGCGATTTGGATTGCCTGAACGTCGTAGTCAAAAGCGCGCTTCAAATCACTTTGAAGAGAAAGAACACCATTAGGTCCTAGCATCTTAAGCAGTAGGTACGGATAATGTGGTATTACCATGAATTTTGCTAGCGCTGGGCGCCCGAGGATTGCATGGTATGATGAATCGAAGTCCGCAACCTCAAACTTGATGAACTCTGTACGGTAGTTCGAGGGAGTTCCAAAAGTAACGGGTAGAGTAATTTGTCCAAGTGGCATGGCTGCCTTGCCGGGTACTATGCCATAAAAAGGTGTACTTGTTGGTGTAATCATCCCAGTGAGTTGCAGTCCCATCTTCCTTAGCGTTTCTGAAAAGATGATGTTGAGTCCGGCTCCCCCGTCGATTAGTACTTTGGTGATAGTCATACCGGCAATAGTTGGATCTAGAACCAGTGGGTAATGGCCTGCATTTCCCATGCTAGTCCATTGGTCTTCTCTTGAAAATTGGATTGGATACTGTGACCAATTGAGATATCTTGGAGTAGCCGGTTCTGCTGCCATGATAGTTCGTAGTGCTAATTTTTCTTGATGTTTGCTTCTGGAATCTGGGGCCCCGGAGAAGATCACTGCTACCGTCCCCCTAGACTTTTGGAATCCCTTGTCTTCGTGGTTGTCCTCATCTTTTTTCTGATTGTCTTCTTTAGTGTTCCCCTTACTATCTTTTCTTGTGTATCGATCATTGAAGGTGTAGCAATTTCCGATGGTGTGCTTCTCATTAGGGTGCAATGGGCAACGTATGTTTTCGATGTCATCATATCTTTTGGGTTTAGAAAACTTCTTTGATTTGTCAGCCATTGCCACGGTGTGTCTGGTCTACGTTTTCTTTCCTGATGTCTGCTATTTTGATGATTTTGCTTGTCCGGGTTGTCTCGGTTGCTTCTATCCGGGAACCTCTCTCGTGTCTTCTCTTCCGCAGTAATCATCTTTTTTACTGTTCGTCTGAATTCTTCATTGTTTCTCGGATTTTCTTTGCAGAAGTCTTGAAATTGCCACCTAGCCATGATTCTATGGGAGAAAGCTTCAATTACTTCTCGTTCGGTGATGTCATGTACTTGAGCTCGTAGTTCGCCGAATCGTCGATAGTAATCTTTGAGACTTTCACCTCCTTTCTGCTTGAGTCCTTTTAATTCTGTGTGGGTGATTGGGTGTGTAATGATCTCTGCGAAATTTTCACAGAAAACTCTTTGCAAGTCCTCCCAATTTCTGATTGATCCTGGATTCAATTTGTCGAACCATTGGAGAGGCATGGTTTCCAGGGCCATGGAAAAGAATAGGGTCTTGATATCGTCGTCTCCTCCAGCTAGTTCAATCGATTGCGAATATATCCTGAGCCACTGCCTTGGTTCAGTTTTGCCATCATACTTAGAGTGGTTGGACGGTTTGAACTTGTGAGGTAGTCGTATTGACGCAAGTCTGTTTACAAAACAGGGGAATCTATCGTGCGTTCCGGCTTCTTTGAATTCCGATTCAGCACCTCCTTCTGGCCAACTGTTGTTTTGATGAGAGTAATCCTGCGAGGCTGTCTGGGCAGGCGCCCTGCTTCTGGTCTTTCTTGGTTGTTCAACTCGGTGGCTCTGACTATGGTCCCTTCTACTTTCTCTGTTATGACTTCCACTTGGTCCAAGTCTCTCGAAAGCAGATTTTCTTTGATTTTGATCTTCTTGCCTATGGGTCGTTGATCTGGCGGGTAGTCTTGAGTGGGTCCTTTCTTCATGCGTCCTCAGGGCTGCTGACCGGAGAAAGTCCCGGAGCTGTTCATGTTTTTCACTAGGATGTGAGGTCGCTCTGAGTTCTTCTAATGCTTCTCGGATCTTATCGTAGGGCGTACTTGCCGTGCGTCTTTCTTCGACTTCTTGTTGTGATTTTCTTTTGTCGTACTCGGCCAACTCTAACTCATATCTGATCCAAGCTTCCTTGCGCTGCCTAGCACAGTGTTGGCGTCCTTGCTTCAACTTGTTTTTTCTTTCTCTAGCTTGTTTCTGATTCTCGGTCTCACCATCGTAGCCCTGGGCAAAGGGTGATATGTTGGATTCTGATTCATCCGATGACCTAACATCGGGCGCTTCTGGGGGGACCAATGGTGATCGAGGACGACGAACCATGAGTACTTCCCATGCATGAACTGTTCTGTTATTGGTGTTAGTTTCCACACTATTGGAGTTGCTGATAACTTTAGTAGAGGCCTCGAGGTCGCAGATCGAGTCTCCTTCTTGGTAGGGTAGAATTGCCGTTGTCATCGTGTCAACCAGTCGGGTACTGCTATCCTCAGGAACAGAGCCTGGCCAGTGGACGATGCAGTCTTGAGATGTTATAGTTAGTACGAGACGTTCCTGAGCTCCCTTCAGTGGCATTCTAAGCACCGGATCGAGGAATCCTCCGGGCCGTGTCTGATAAGATGTTGCCATGTTGTGGAATCCGAGCGGAAAAGGATCCGACTTCTTGAAAAGATTCTGCGTGTACTCTGAGTTGTATTCTTGATAGGTCAGGGCCGCGTTCTTAAGCCCCACCGGAAAAGAACTTGGTTTCGAAAGAACTCGAATAAGACTCTATCTTGGATGCGGAGCCTGAGTTCGAGTCGGATGCGCAAAGCCGCGAAACCTGAGTTGAATCGGACATCATGAGCTGCGCGAATCTTCCGGAGATTTGATCTGTCGTAGTCGCCGAAATAGAATAGTCTTCATGGTGATTCGAATCTTCGAGGAGACGGCTTTGGAGCTTGCCATTGTCGTCCGCCTCGCAGATCCATGAGCCGAAGATGAAAGTTGATCCCGTCGAGAAGATCATACTGTCGAGGTCCATCGAGCTCTCGGATGCAAATTTGCCGAAAGACCCTACCTGGCGCGCCAGTTGTCGATGTTTTACCACCGATAGCCTGCCACGGGGTTATTCAGGACAGTATGTTCGGGCTTCAGCGTATGCGGAACTCGACGATGAACGTAAGAGACAGTCGATTTATCCTGGTTTAGGCCCTCGATCGTTGATCGAGTAATAGCCCTACGTCTAGTCGGCGTTAGCCTCTGCGTTGTATTGATTGTGTGTTGTTGCGTTGTTGCAAAAGTTGTCCTCTCTAGGTTCCTGCCCTCCTTTATATAGTCAGGAGGTCAGAATCCTAGTCGGTTTACAATGAGAGTTCCTAGTAGAATAACAGAATAATACTACTACTAAGATTACATGGGGAGAATCCTGGTTAGACTAGATATTTTCTCTTCCTTGAGGGGTATCCTGTGGGTCCCTGCACCGACAGTCAATAAGTTGCGTGAGCAGCAACTACTTGCTGATTCAAGAGCTATGTCAGTAGAAGAGAAGGTTACTATATTCTTATATGCACTAGCGAAAAATGCAAGTAATGAGACCTTGCAATATGAATTTCAGCACAGTGGAGAAACAATAAGTCGCCATTTTAGAGCAGTGCTTGATGCAATTACACAACTTACTTGTGTTTACATACGCCGACCTTCCCTACACCCACACCAGATTTTACGAAGACTAAAATTCCACCCCTTCTTTCATGTATGAACAAATGCACAATTTGATTTTTTAAATTTCAGAAGGTCAAACAAACTGCTTAAAGACAATATACTATATAAACAATGCATTTTTTTTATTCTTGTAGGATTGTGTTGGCTGTATTGATGGGACTCACATACCAATGATACATCCACTGGATCAGCGAGAGCCATATCAGAATAGAAAGCAAACACTATCTCAGAATGTTATGCTAGCATGTGGCTTCGATCTAAAATTTGTACATGTACATGCTGGCTGGGAGGGATCAGCTTCAGATGCAAGAGTTCTACAAGATGCACTTAACCATGGCTTTGAAGTGCCTCCTGGTAAATTTTTTCTAGTAGATACAGGTTATGCAAACACAACACAATTTCTTGAGCCATATCGTGGAACAGCGGCGTGGGCGCGCGACAAAGCTGGGGCTGCGGCGAGTGGCGCGATGGCAGCACTGCCGCTAGGCCCTCGGGCCTCGGGATGCCGTGCGGTCGCATAGGGACTTCAGATGGGGAAAAGTAACGTACTTGCAGGCAGATGGGGGAAAAGGAAAGTACCCGGATGACAGAGGAACACACAGATGCATGGATCAGTACGGCGTTGTGGCTGCGAGTGCTGGACTAGGTGGCTGGGCATGGGGTTCGGTAGATTTGGTCACCGACGTTGGGGCAGGCCGATTCATTGGTCGGTGATGGGGAGGGCCTCGTGTCGTCTCGTGCACCGGTGATGGGGCCGCCGTCGTGTGAACCGGTGATGGGGCGGCCATCGCCTGCGTCGACGACGGGTGTCCGTCGACCGCCGCTGTTGCCCCTTGGCCTACGATGGGGAAGGGTTTTGTTTTGCTTGACCGAGCGGTAGTGTGGGCTTCCTTATCCTTATCTAAAAACACAAGCGCGAAACGATAATAGCAAGAGGGAAACGAGCGAGCGAGGCGCGCGAGCCGTCTGTTTTCGCGCCAGGAAACTTTCTGAGAGCTCCGACCTCATGCTTCTTTTCCCGTAAAACTAGGCCATTGGAATACAATCCTAAGGAATTGTTCCTGTACTTCTCCCATGAACCAAAGGGCTCTATATGAATGAATCCTTAGAAAACTCAATTCTTGATAATTTCTCTGGCATTCCTTCGAACCAAAAGGTCCCTAATGTTTTTATTTCCTATGGAATGGAGTCATAGGATTTAATCCTATGAAACATTTCCTTCGCTTTTCATATCAACCAAAGGCCAGAAAAGGAAATATTCCTTAGGAAAGCTAGCCTTCAAATCGAACTCCTCCCCGATCCCCAAAGTCGAACCCAAGTCGAGACCCGAACCCTCGCCTTTCGATGTCGGCCGCCACCACCGGCCCTGCCCCTCCGGTGGCCACTCAGATGGCGCCCCCTCCGTCGTACCCGGCCTCCTCTACTGCCTCAGCCTCCGTGGCCGCGTCCGTCGAGGAGGAGGACGACCTCTATGGCCGCCTCAAGTCGCTCCAGCGCTACATGGAGTTCGTCGAGATCCAGGAGGAGTACGTTAAAGACGAACAGAAGAACCTCAAGCGCGAACTCCTCCGTGCGCAGGAGGAGGTCAAGCGGATCCAGTCCGTACCGCTCGTCATCGGCCAGTTTATGGAAATGGTCGACGGCAACAACGGCATCGTGGGCTCTACCACGGGCAGCAACTACTACGTGCGGATCCTCAGCACCATCAACCGCGAGCTGCTCAAGCCGTCAGCGTCCGTCGCGTTGCATCGTCATTCCAACGCTCTAGTCGACGTGCTGCCGCCCGAGGCCGACTCCAGCATCTCCTTGCTGGGATCGTCGGAGAAGCCCAACGTCACCTACAACGTAAGTGTATCCTTGAATTTGCCGGATCCGCATGATGCCCTTGGTTAATTTGACTTCTTATCATGGATCTGATGATAAATCACTTGGTCGTTACATTGTTATCCCGAATCATAATGTGCTTATGAGTATATATATCGTAAGTGTATCCTTGAATTTGCCGGATCCGCATGATGCCCTTGGTTAATTTGACTTCTTATTATAGAGCTGGTGATAAATCACTTGGTCGTTACATTGTTATCCCGAATCATAATGTGCTTATGAGTATATATATCAGTCAGGCTGGGCCCTAGATCTGTCTATGCTTCCATATGAAGTAGAGTTCTGCTTCTTCATTGGTCAGGCTTCACATATCTGTCGATGTTATTGATTGCAGTGGGCGTCTTCCTAGTTATGGTATACAAATAGGCAAAATCTATTTTTTAGAACCTGCAAAAGGCTGCATCTTTTCCTAATTATTACTAGCAAACGGTGTCCATTTATGCAGCTGAACACACATGTTATTGCACGCACCTGAATGACTTCTCGTATATTTATATAACGGTCACATCATCAATACTCCCTCCGTCCCTTTTTCCCACTTCCCGAGAAGTCAAACATACTCAACTTTGACCAAATATATACAAGAAAATATTAATATTTATGGTACAAATTAGTATCATTAGATAGATTGTTGGATCTATTTTTCAAAATAAACTTATTTCAAGCTACAAATGATGCTAATATTTTCTACAAACCTTGTCAAACTTAGCAAAATACCATAGCAACACTTAAAAAGGGACAGAGGGAGTATGCACTAGAATTGGACAGCGTACCATCATTGGACGCGCGAACACACGCGGTTCTGACTTGTATAAGCAAGGGTCATGGGTATTCTCACAGATGAGACTACGAGAAGTGCAAGGGCATTGTGGGCAATGTTCAAAAAGGCGCTAGGCGGCTCGCCTAGGCGTTTCAATGCGTTTTTCTAGGCGTTACCATATCCATGCATATTTACATCAAAGTCTAAAATAAAAGGAGAAACAGGAGAACAATGGGTCAAGAGTTATACAAGAAGGCCCATAAAAACAGCCCAAGCCCAAGTCTGAACAGCAAACCTTATCCCTAACCTCACCTCCCAACCTTATCTATTCCTGCTCGCCGCACGACTCGCAAGTCGCGACTGGCCGCGCCGTGCGATGCCCCTCTGCCTCCGTGACGCCCGCCGCCCCTGTCCCAGCCTCCTCCGCGCTGCTCGCCGGCCCCAGTCCCTGTCTCCTCCGCGCTGCTCGCCGCCTCCTGGCCGCGCCGGTGGCCCGCCCTCCTCCCGGCCGCGCCTATCCTCCGCCAATCCCCTTAGGCGAGGCGGAACCCCTCCGCCTAGCGCGTAAGCGGGCCTAGGCGAGCGCCTAGCAGCGCCTTTTTGAACATTGATTGTGGGAAGTAAAAAACACTGAACGGAAGAATCACTAAAGTTTTAAACGACATCAAATCAGTCAACATGTATCACCACAGAAAACAAGTTTTCGAGCATGCCCTCAAACAACAAAACGGGGATTGTTTCACTTGGTTCTGTTCCAATTTGTAGATACTAACAGGTTCTATTCCGATCTCAATAGATGAGTTATGGAAAAGGTGGAAATTTATGCAGAAACTGGTTCAATTTTATGTAAAATATCACGGTTCTGCTGCAATGGGAACCATATTGGTTTCGTCTTTTTTGTAGGTTCAGTGGGTTTTAAGGCTATGTGCCACATTAACGTTGGATCTGTGCTTCAATTGTTTTAAGAATTTCTTTGAATAGGAAACAAAATATGGTTCTTTGCAGTTTTGTTTTGGTATCTAATTTCTCGAGCCAATTCCTTACAAGCCACTAGAAAAGTTCCGAATTCCGGCTTGACCACTAAAAGAATTCATGTCTTCTATGCCATCATTTCATCTTTTTGCACCCTTCTATGCCACTGCCATCATGCTCTAGTGTAACGGTTCCTAACTAAAGAACGAAATGTCCATTTACCCTCAAATGAATGTGGCCATGGATGTTTGGGCTCTCCGTGACATTGGCAGCGTTAAGAACCAGAGAACAGGAGAAGCAAGAACGGATAAGACTAGTGATTCATTGTTAACATGAATGACCACATGAACAGGAGAAGCAAGTTGTATACGCCGCTGCTGTAGCAGTCCCCAATGCTGAAGAACTCGACGCTATCCTGCACGATGTGGCCATGCGGCATAGCGGCCTTGCCTGTCAGCTTATGCAGCTTGTCGAATGCACAGATCGAGCAGGGTGATCCCTGAGCTGCTCCTCGGCCCTGATGCCTCCCTCACTCTCCTCGAGCGGATCTCCGTCTCAAATCTCTATAGCAGATGCTTCGCAGCAGAGCAGGTAGGATGGCAGATTGATGGGAACAGATGGGGAATGGGGAAGATGAGAGAACGAGTGAAGGTGAAACAGACTCTTGGCCTCCAGTCATAGCTTGGGGTTAAAATGGGCATTTTAGAAAAGAACTGACATCCACGTGTGTTGTAACGGCATCTTCAACTAACAGACTAGACAACAGTGGCATAGAAGGGTGTGAAAAAAATGAAATGATGACATAAATGGCATGAACTTTTTCAGTGGTCATCTAGACGGAATTCGGAACTTTTCTAGTGGCTTGTAAGGAATTGGCTCTAATTTCTTGAAGTACACCTATGCACTTGGTTTCAGTGCATTACAATTTATTGGTTTCTTATGGTCTGCAGGATATTGGAGGATGCGACATCCAAAAGCAAGAAATACGGGAGGCGGTTGAGTTACCCTTGACTCATCATGAGTTGTACAAGCAGATTGGTATTGATCCTCCAAGAGGGGTGCTTCTGTATGGTCCTCCAGGTACCGGCAAGACCATGCTTGCCAAAGCAGTCGCACATCATACCACTGCTGCTTTTATCAGAGTCGTCGGTTCGGAGTTTGTACAGAAGTACTTGGGTGAGGTACAGTCCCAATATGAATTGCTTTTGTGTTGGAAATAAAATGTAGTGAATTGATGCATGTTACAATGTTAATGGGTTAGTTTATTCCCACTCATGCTTTTTGGATAATAAAATAAAATAAAATATAGTTGCTTAGTTGTTCTGGTAGCGTAGATACTGCTGTCATTGTTTTTTCGAAAAGGGTTGGGGAGAAACTGATGGGTATCTATGCATCCTCTATACTGAAGTGAAAACATAAAGTAGAAAGGTGTTTATAGATTCTCTATGTTGTCTAGTACAAGCTTGAATGTGCTCTAAGCTGTGTCAAAAGTGTTGTGTTCTGGTTTCATGTTAGCATTGGAACAGTATCTGTGATAGTCCATAGAGCTATTGAATGGGCTCTTCATCTGTGTCAAAATTGTTGCATTCTGGTTTCATGCTCATTGGAACAGTATCTGTGATAGTCCATAAAGTTATCTTCTTAACCCAATCTATATTGGGTACCACATATAATGTAACCAAGATAACTGTTACTCCCCCGTTCCAAATTTTAAGTTGTTCTGGCTTTTATAGATACACAACTTTTACTATGTATCTAGTGTGTATCTAGACATAGTGTATATCTAGATGCCTATCCAAAGAATGACTTACAATTTGGAACGGAGGGAGTAATATTTTATTGTTTTTCCTGTATCATGTCTGACTAGTGCAAGCATTATGCATGTCTTAATTCTTTGTATGATTAGTGGTTATTCATAGATACATTTCGTCGACATAAAAATTTGCAATTTGTTCTTTTCGTCTGTTCAATATTTGTCAGTCCTATTCTTGATGTGTTATGATCTTTCTACTCCTTTAGGGCCCTAGAATGGTGCGTGATGTGTTCCGTTTGGCTAAGGAGAATGCCCCAGCAATCATTTTCATTGATGAGGTTGATGCTATAGCCACTGCTCGTTTTGATGCTCAGACTGGTGCTGACTGAGAAGTTCAGCGTATTCTTATGGAGCTACTCAATCAGGTAAAGCTTAGCTATTAGAAGACCAGGATGAACTTTTAGGGCTTAACAGATTTATTACTATGTTAGAAAACATTTAGCAACAGGCCTCAAACATTGAAGAAGTGGTTGTTTGCAATTTAAAATAACCAATTTTCATTATATTATTCCAATTTGAGAACTTCTGTTCTTTTGGAAAAGAGAACAATGTGAAATGAATTTAGAAAACAGCTTTTATCTCTAAAAGCTAACTTTGGGAATTCCTACAGTTTCCTAGATTATAGTTCCTACTAGTTCTTTTTATTTCTTATTAGTAATTAGTAATGTGGTTATTTATTTTGCAGATGGATGGGTTTGATCAAACTGTGAATGTGAAGGTTATAATGGCAACTAATCGGGCAGACACTCTAGATCCTGCTCTGTTGCGTCCTGGTAGACTTGACAGGAAAATTGAGTTTCCTCTGCCAGACCGGCGTCAGAAGAGGCTTGTTTTCCAAGTAAGTTAATGTTTTGCGAGGATGTTACAAGAGCTGAGTTACAGAGATTTGTTGAATTTGTAGAGTATTACTATGGAATTATTTGGTTCTTGCTCGTTCACATGTGGTCATATCTTCAAAGGGATAAGTTTAATTAGGAATAAAGATTTCTTTTGGATACACAACCAACTTTGAGCACTGCAGTTTTATGAGTTGCCTAGTGTTAATAACTATTTATTCTATAAGGTATTATTTATGGAAGTAACCAGTGCATCCTATTACATCTGTCCTAGATATGATTGCTAGAGTTGCTTCATTGGTGATCCCATGTGGATGATTTCTGAGCACTGTTAGGCCAGTTCCAGTGGGAGTTTCATTCCCATTTAGGCCTTGTTTGGATGTTGTCGGATTTACCTCAATCCACATGTGTTGGGGTGGATTGGGGTAGAATTTAGTTCAAGTTCCACACCAATCCACCCCAACACATGTGGATTGATGCGAATCTGACTACATCCAAACAAGGCCTTAATGAGGTGACACATCCACAAAAATGATGACGTGGCATGGGAATTATGAGAGGATATGGATGAAACTCAGCGCACAGCATTTCCAATGCATTGGAAATTTAGTGAAACTCCACTAGGAGCAGTTTGTTTCATCCACACATGTCGGAAAATTGCGTGAAACTCCAATGGGAGCGTTTCAATTCAAAAAAACATGCAACATTTAAATACCCTACGAAACTGTGCATGGTGGGTCTTGTTTTATTTTAGCTCCCACACCTCACTCTTGGAAACAGTGCAATAGAACCTAGCACTGGGAAAGGCTTTATTGGTTTGTGTTATGGGTTGCATATGTAGCATTGTTCATTTTTCTATCTGTGATAATTGTACATGTAGTGGGATCCTCATACTAACAACAGCTTTGTGATGTATGCACCATTTTTAAATTATCTTCATGCTATAAAAAAGTAACAGTTTACTTGTTTGTTTTCTGTGTTATGGTTTCTCTATCTAGGATTTACAAACAATTCCACTTTCCTTGTTACAATTCTGTTTTACAAATTCGTTTGTCAACTCAAGCTGTTTGGTTTTGGATTTCTGGGTTGCTATAGATTTTCTTGTGGTATCTCTTTTTCACACTTGATAATTAGCTCATCTAATTCTTCAGGTTTGCACTGCCAAAATGAACCTGAGCGATGAGGTTGATTTGGAAGATTATGTTTCCAGACCGGATAAGATCAGTGCTGCTGATGTGAGTCTCTTTTCATTGTGATGTTTTTTAAATTAATAATATAAATACACTTGAAATTCATCTACTGGAGTACACTGTTGTGTCCCATGCCAGTTTTTGACCTGTAATTGAGTGCTTTTGTGATTTCTACTGCGTAGCTAGTACACTTATACCCTACTCCCTCCTTTTCTTATTTTTATTAAAGGTGTGAGCAACACAGGATTCCAAAGATTTTTTAGATTCTACCATACAAATTTACTATTGTTCACTTCATATTGAAAGCACTTTCATATGATATCAATTTCATGGTTATTAGAATTATAATGATATAAGATATGATATTGTTCAAATTGTGGTGTTAGGGCCTGCACCGCTTCAAGGTACACCTTGCATTTTAAAAATTTGAAAGTGAGGTTGTTATGACCGGCGTCCATTACTCCAGGCGCCGGCCCATAAGTGGCTAAGAGGGCGCCCCCTACTAGGGGGCTAATAGCCCAATTATCCCTTTTATTTGCTATTTCCTCAAATAGAACATTTATTCCTTAAATATAGGATCTCTTAGATGGTTGTTTAGGGAGGATAAATATCCTGTAAACATTGAGGAAGGCAAACATTATTTGCCTGGCCTCAAGGGCCTTCACGTGACCCTTCTCCCTGCCTTCTCTCTCACGTACGTCTAGGGCAACAGCAGCAGCGCCGCTGCCGCAACGCAGCCACAGCTTCTCGCCGTCGCTGAGAGATCAAACCTCGCCCTCCCCTCTTCCATCCCTACAACCTCCGCAGCAACTCCGGTAGGACCTCGGGTTCTATCAGAGGTAGTATTGATAAAATCTATATCCAGTAAACCTTGGATCCAACAATGCACCTGATTTGTTTAATGGAGGTGGCCAAACCACATTACAATGGTAATGCTTGTCTCAGATCTTTTCTTGTTCTTAGCATTATACGCATCTTAGGGCATCTGGTGATTTAAATTAGATTATACTTTTATGCCAATCGCATTAGTTATTGATTATTGATTTGATGATGCAAAATGAGATGATCTCTTTTTTCCTTGTCACCCTCAATGCTCCTTGCATGAGTTATTGATTATTGATCTGACAATGTAAAACTAGGTAACCTTTTTTTTTTTCCTGTCACCCTGAATGCCCCTCGCATTATGCTTTTACAGATTGCTGCTATCTGTCAAGAAGCTGGCATGCATGCTGTCCGCAAAAACCGATATGTCATCCTCCCCAAGGACTTTGAGAAGGGCTACCGAACCAACGTGAAGAAGCCCGAGACGGACTTTGATTTCTACAAATGAGCCAACCTGAGTGTTGAACTCGTTTCTTGTTTATCAATTGAATATTTTTTAGCATCAAGATGAGTTTCAGGATAGTTGCCAATATCAAATATTCAAGTTCCTCAATGGTGATACGTGTTCTTTCTGGATGCCTGTCTTAATGTTCATGGTGATCTGCTTCATCAGATTTGGAGTCAATCTTTTTACTTGGTGAAGCTACAGGAGTGCTATGGAAGAAGTTATGATTGTGTAGGGTAGATTAACCTTTTACCGTCTCGGTGGGGCTTGGATTTGGCCTTAAGCTAATCTTCACCAATCAAAATAACCAGAAGTGATGTCTCGTTGCTGATACCTGCAGATCCGGTCTGTCTCAATCAAACTATGCCGATGTCTCTGCCAATCAAACTATGGCAGCTAGACGGACAGGATAGAAAAATCACGTTTGCGTAGAAAAATCACGTTTGCGCAGATGGTTTGTTCTTAGTTTGTCACACATCAATCAAGAATTCATTGTACTCACATCCAATAAAAACCAAGCCCTCCAAAACCCTTGGGGGCGATCTAGAGTCTCCCATCTAACCATATGGTATTTCCTCTTTTTATTTGTCCCTTGCCAAAAGAAACAAGATCTAGTAGAATCCAGTTTCTGATAATTTCCCTCATACAGCATGCACATCCCCATAGCATATATAGGAATATTGGACAAACAGGAACTAATCAAGATGGATTTGCCTCTTGAAGATAAAAGACCCCCTTGCCAAGTACCTAGCCTTCTTTCACTTTTCACACACACCACATTTAACTGACCCTTAGTAACTTTAATATCACTGATAGGCAGGCCTAAATACATAATAGGAAATTCTCACTCTACGTCCAAACAGCTCTGCCACCTCCATCTTCTCCTCAGCCTCCCCCCCCCTATCATAAACACTTCACTCCTCTCATAATTGATCTTCATCCCAGACATGGCTTCATAACAAGCTAAAATGAATTTGATATTTGTTATGTTGGTATCAGAATTCTCTAACAGAATCACAGTATCATCAGCGTATTGCAAGTGAGTTAGACCACTCTATACAATATGCGGCACTAAGTCTGTGAGTAGACCCTCTCTACTAGCCCTACATAATAGAGCAGAAAACACATCAACCACCAAATTGAAAAGGATAGGTGATAAAGGATCACCTTGTCTCAATCCTTTGAAACTTAGAAAGAAAGGGTCTCTCTCACCATTCAGATCAATAGCCACTCTAGCACCCTGAACTGCTTGCATAATCTATTCAATCCAGGTTGAGTTGAAACCTTTTTTTTTTTTTTTCAAAACCTCCCTTAAGAACTCCCAGTTGACCTTATCATCTGCCTTTCAAAGTCTAACCTCAAGATCAAATGCGTCTACCTTGACACTCTCAACTCATGCAACACCTCTAACAAAATAACTGACCCCTCTAATATGAATCTCCTAGGTAAAAAGGCAGTCTGAAACTTGCTAATCACTTTGCCAGCCACTTTAGTTAACCCCAGAGTCAGAACCTTAGTAATAATCTTATAAATCACCTTCAAAAAGACAGATAGGTCTAAACTATTTAATACTACTAGCTAGTTTGACTTTAGGCAACAAAGTTATGACACCATAATTCAATCTTCTCGGATCAAGTTGGCCTTGGTGGAGCCCATCTAGCATTTCTTTAACTAATCCTCTCAACTGTTACCAGAAAGCTTTGAAGAACACCGAGAACCCAGCCGTCGAGTCCAGGAGCAGTATTGTTTTCATTTCTCTTAGAGCTTTGTCCAATTCCTCAAAAGTGAATGGTAGCACTAACTCAGCATTTTCCTCCACTGATATCTTCTCTTCATCAGACCAAAGATTATCTTGAATATGAATATTAGCCACCTCTTCTCTGCCAAACAATTGCTTATAGAATTCTTTGATATGTGATTTCAAGGCCACACCCTCTAATGACCTCCCTGAGCATCATCAAGAAAAGTAATTCTACACTTTCTTCTTCTTCCGTTAGCACTTGGATGGAAGAACTAGTGTTGGAGTCACCTTGTAACAACCACTTCTCACTCCCCTTTTCTACCAATAAATCTCTTCTTCCTGGAGAACATGTTGGAGCATTCTATCCAACTCATACCTTCTAGCCCATTCCTAACTTAACAGCTCTGTTTGTTCACTTTTCATGCTCCTCTATCTTTCTATTTATCACGTCTTTCTTAGCTCTCTTATGACTTTCATGATTCAAACTCCAACCTTGATAGCCCTCGTCAATTTACTGGAAATGACATGCCAATGGTCCAAAGAATTTTCTTTCCATATAGCAGGCCACTTTGAATTTATCCACTCAACAAACCCTTCTAATTGCAGATAGCTGGCATTGAACTCAACTTTCTCTGAATATCACCTCCAGTATCTAACAAGAGTGGGCTGTGATCAGAGCCTATCCTAGAGCCAGTATAAACCACAACCAAGTTAAACCTGCCTTCCCATCTATTACTGACTAAAACTCGATCTAACACACACATAATTGGAGGGGTTTGCTTGTTGGACCATGTGAATCTGCTGCCAGTTGGCTAATATCCCTGAGTTTAGCAACCTCAACAAATCAATTAAAGCCTCCATATAAGCTTGGGTTTACACTACCATTAGAATTCTCCTCAACTCTTGTTACCAAATTGAAATCCCCCTAAGAATGATTGGAAATTGTGCATTGTGCATTTTGTCTTGCAAAGCTTGAAGAAACTCTAATTTTTTGTCACCATGAGCCGGTCCATAGATATTCACCACTTCCCAAACTAAACCATCCTCTGCTTGCTTAATAACCATACTAATGAAGAAATCACCTTTTATGTTTGTCGCACCTCAAAAATGTCAGTGTCTGTTGGTATTTCTTATGTCTATTGGATAATTCCGCAAGCGCACATAATATACCGCTGTAGCACTTCACCCGGGAGTATTCCAAGGTATCGTTATTTATTTTATCCCAAGGAAAAACAGTAGCTAGAAATGATAATAAAAGAGAGATCCTTTTATACCACAACTTAGTATCAACTAGTGTAAGGGGGTAAACGAAAATATGGTAGGAAGGGATGATGGTGAAACAAGCCAAGCTAAAGATAAATAAGATAACTAGTAAGTATAGCTAGGTGGGAGGACAACGAGAGAGAGTAAAATACTCCTATGCTTCTAACTCTACTCCCGTAACTTAACCAAATCACACAATTGAGACATTGTAACACCTCGGGTGTTTAAATATTAAAAACCGGACATATCATCATATGCATTGCAAGGCATTGGTTATATTGTAAACTTTGATATGCATTCACTAAAACAAGTTTACATTTATGTTATAAGTATTGCTTGGTATTGTTTGAATCAAGTTTGAAATCTTTGTATTGATTTGAAATTCCGAAAACCCTGATTTTCAATATTTAAATCCGACCCTGAAAATCCATTTCAAAATCGAAGCACATTTTGGGGTTGAGTCTTAAAGCAAAGTTGTAGAGCTTGTCGAGTTGTACAAAGTTTATTTTTGGAGTTTTTCAAGTTGTTTAGTAAAATTTGGAGTTATTTAAAAAGGCGAAATTCCTTAAATATCCCCGCTTTAAATTCAAAAGTTCATTTCAAAATGTAGGCCGAATTTGGGTATGGTTTCAAAAGCAAAGTTGTAGAACTTTTGATTTTGAACAACTTTTGTTTTTGGAGATTTTTGAGTTGTTATGAAAATTTGGGAGTAATTTAGGAATTTTGGTGGATGACAATTCTGTAATTTAGATGAACAGTGTCCACCCGCCGAAGCTACATGGCCGGCGATCTTCGGTTTGCTTCGGTGAGCTGGTCGTGTGGCCATCTTTGGCGTCATATTGGCGCTGTGAAGGCCCAACAGTAGCTTCCTTGAGCTCGAGCCACTCTATTTAGCCTTGCCGCCGCATGTTTCGTCCCCGCTCTCTTGCTCGGTTTTTCCGCCGCCACCGCCATTCTCCGTTGAGCCCTCGCCGTCGAACCAGCGTCTGCGCCGTCGTAGTGATGCGTGTCCCAGCTCTGCTAGTTCCTTGCGCACCCAGCCAGCTAGCTCTAGTCACTTGATTTCGCCGTGAACTCGCCGTTCATCATTTTTCTTCCTCATGGTGGCAACTTCAACGTTCACCGCTTGGCGTCGCTGCGTCATTTGGAGCTTCACGGTGTGTCTTTGTCATTCTTTGAAGCGTACCGTTAGCTTCGCCTTTTGATGCCGCATTGCTTTGTGACTTGTTCTTTTGTCATTTCATCCACCATAGCCGGCGGAGTGCCGTCGTCGACGTCTGTTTCACGCCGTGGAGGAGGTCGTGCTCGTCGAACTTCTTTCATCGTAGCTTCTTGGGTGCGGTTCTCTCTTTCGATCATGTTCGGGGTGAGCTGCTGAACCTTCCTCGGTGTTTTGTTTAATCGCTACCGCAGATGGTGTCACTGGCGTCGTGCAACCGAGCCGCCGTGTCCGCCATGGCTAGAGTTGAGCTAGAATTGAGTCGTAATCGGTGCAACTAAGGACGGTAGTAGGTGCGCATAGTCGTGGGGAACATGTTGGTGTAGTCGCCATCGCCGGTGATCTCGCCGTCGCGTGAGATTTTACGGTCGCCGGCAGCGATGTCGCCGTGGTCAAAGCGCCGAGGTAGAAGATGACAAGTGGGACCCGGTTGTCGGTGACTCGTTGCTCAAAATGGATTTTCTATTTTTTGAAATAAATGAATAGTGTCTATTTTTGTTATTTTTGTGTAGATTTATTTAGAGCTCCAAAAAAATTATGAAATTTTTTGTGTAACTTCTCTATGATGTGTATTATTTAGGAAAAATATGAAATGTTGATTTTCAGTACTTTTTGAATATGATAAAAATTGCTCAATTAATTAATAAATGAGTTTTCAGGATTTTTCTAGGCTTATTTATGTATCCAAAAATTATGAAAATAGTTTTGTCACTTAGTTATCATGTGATGAACATATACAAAATTTTTAGGTCAATTGGAACAAGTTGATTTATTTCATAA